TATTAAATCTCTTCAACCGAAGATAAAATCCGTATATATCTCCGCGCGCCAATGTAATATCCTCTATTTTTCTGCTAAGTTTATGGAGTAATAATTGGAAATTGTGGATATTGCCATAACTAACTAAAGATATGCTTTTTGAAGATAGTAAYATAGTAAAAAAGTCAAAACATATTTTATTAAAAACCGCGTTATATTTGTATTGATTCATAAATTTTGATAAAAATCTCCGCTCATGAAATCACCTTTAAGTGGAATCAAAGCATTGTTTACAATAATGTCAAATCATCGTATACATATTGATAATTACACTAAAAAGCTGCCGTTATTAACACCAATAGGTGACTGCTATTATRTTTATTAAGCCCCTCGGGCCGTATTCTGTACGGACGGGGGAAGATAGGGGCGGGGGTACTCGTTACGTTGTTGGGCACTAGGATGTACGACGCCTTTGATCTACCGAAAAACTTGCACCATTCAAATATGGATTTCTCAACTGCATTGGAAAATGRGAAAATATCTGCTGACGATCTTCAAGAAAGCTTAAAAAAATGATAGCAATAGTGCATGGGCATAAACTGGAGACGTTAGCGGATTAAGAAAAAACAACTTGAATTAAACAAAATTGAAAGAATACACAACGCCTCTCACTGCTATCCCCCCCTTCCCCCCGGCTTCCCTACCAACCGAAATAAAGGATAAAAAAAGAGAACGTCGAATTGATGCATAAAAATCTTAAATCGAACCGAAAACATCTCATTTGCACGACTCAATTGTATGGCTTCTGTCATTTGCTTCATGGGGGTGTTTTTCTTAGCCAAATCGCCATTTTACATCGACAGAAATAYTGGAAATTTCATTTACGTATTTATTGCAARGCTGTACGTCTAAAATGAAAAAGTAATTCCAGACAGAAAGGAACCTATTTCCATTATTTTCACTATATTTCTCCTTTTGTGGTATTTTGAATACATATTGACTCTATAAGAAATATTATCGTCAGTTGAATCTGTTCCAAGAATGAATGGTCTTTTGCATTGGGTACGATAATGAATTCGTTAATACAATTTGACCTACGTGTATTCATAGTAATAATATATTTCAGTTTTCCTTTGTGCGAGTAGATCATGATTTGTTTTCATTGACGTCCCATGGTGAAGCGGCCTGCAGCGAAATCTCAATTTCTAATCATTTCAATGTAAATATTGAAAAGGGAAGGTCGTCAATACAATTATTTTTATCATCAACAGATGTCCTCATCTCGCATGTATTAGCAAAGGCGTYAAATTCTCGAAAAAGCAATCTACAAAGTGAATTTAAAATTGTGGAAAGATATAAACTTATGTAAGTCTTGTCATCTTTTTTTTTACAAAAACTGTAACTGTTCATGAAATGACTTCTTTTTTATTGTAAACTCGTATTGTTTAGGGTGTTGTTTGCCTCCTAAGTACCAAGACATCGAAGTTTTAATAAGTTTGCGAGACCTTAATTGAACACAGCTCAATCTTTTTTCGCTCTTATCGAGAAATTATCGACATACAGTTGCAGAATCTTCTAATTACGATTAGACTAAAGAGGTTTAATGAGGTTTGGTCTTCCTCTTATCAAATTTGCATTGATGTGACAGCTTATTTTTAGTTTACAGAAAAAGGACAGCGACCAAAGTGCTGCAGTAAAGAGACTCGTCAACAGCTGCCAGCGAAGACACTAAGTGAGACCACAACTAACCACCGTTTTGAAAAGAAAAGAAAAAAGCTGCCAAGTTAAACAATTCCAAGTAAGACAGTATATTTCAGTAAGTCAAGAGTATTAGCTTCAATATTTTTCTCTTTGTGTGCGTTGGTCTTTCTCGAAATGAAATGCCGTAGGAGGCGAACATTATATTGGTCGTAACCGTTTGTACTGTGTTTTTGAATAGTGTTTCCTCGGATTCAATGCAGGAATTTAAAATGTTTGAAAGGAAATGTTATAGAATATAAAGACCGCATATTGGGGAAATCAAGAGAAAATTTGAAATTTGCGAAAAAATTCAGATATTGAACCATTGATCCCAAAAGCTGGTGTTTCTAAAAAAGGGATATTTAGTTGATCGTAAATGATAAGTTTTTTTCCCAAGTTGCTCGCAAATTATAAATTTGATTTTTTATAGCTTTATTGTTTATCAATATTTGCAACTCGATGTCAAAATCCTATTAAAATCACATGTGTTTTACAAGAAATTCGCTCTCCTGGGCATCGAGGGTCAATTGATGACAGAGAATTCAGCTTTTTTGCAATAGCTCTCGGATGGTTAAACAGACTTCCCATTTTTTGGGGGTGAGGTAGTTACAAGTTAAAAGCTAAAATTTAAAAAAATTTAAAAAATGAGAAACTCTTGGGACTAATTTATAAGTGATAAGCTGATTATTGGTGATCCACGTTTTATTAGCTTGAGTTGGTGGTCTTAACTTGACAACGTTCAAGATCCCGCGATTCGGCAACAAAATTATATATGCACGCCACACCCCGTTAATTTCATCACTTATATATGTTAACTTCGGTAGTTTTTGGAACTAAATAATTGCTTTGCACTGATTTTAAYATGGTAGACTCTTGATTTAAAAGTATTCTAATAGTTTAATTTTAATAATATTTCAAAAAGGGACCCTCTCCCGTGTCGATCATAATCAATTCAATTACAAAGTTTTCAAAAGATTTAACAATTCTCACTGCTTGAATACACATGGTCGACCACCGCATGTAAACGATAATTAAATCATTTAAGCATGAGTGAAAACMAGCAATATCTATGCATATGGAGTGGAGGYTATAAATAGAATTTGTTTCGTAGTAACATGCACAGCTTGTGTGATGTAACAAGTTGAAATGTCTTCAAACTGATGCATATAGTAATCATATACAACGTTAAATAGGAATCTTGCCAAGAAACTTACTTCTGCAAGCATTTGATATAAGTTATGTTCACCCGTAGCGATGTTTATTCCATAGATCGGACCATGAAACGCCACAGCAAAGAATCAACAGAAATGACATCGATTGAAGATGGCAATGTTAATGGTTACGTTCACAATTACGATCTYTGYGACGCCACRAAACTCAAGACAGCATTAAAACCTCTGTTTACATCAATGAGAATTGTGGGAGCTGTGTACGGTGATGTCTTTCACGCTTGCCGCTTAAAACCTAATTCTGTGCGACCTTCTGCTAAAGCTTTTGATTATGATGTCCAGCAACAAACTTCGTAYACGAGTCAAGGAAAGGGCTGGCGCCATAATTTGGGTTTCTGCTTCAGTATCCTTGTCGCTKTKATGATTCTWKCRGGCTGTGTTCACCAAGTTTATGAAGCAATCATGTCCCACAGCATGATGGACGTTATGACTCGAGTTTTTCTACTTCTTTGGGTAACACTCTGCTTGCTTCAGCACCTYATCTGCATGTTCRTCACGTCGCATAGGACTAAGAAAAACCCGCTTAACAGGTTTGACAAGCTAGTTAAAGCTATACTGTCAGTTAGAGCGGCAAGTGTTTTAAGGACAAGAAGCTGTGTAAGATATACCGTTCTATTTGGCTGGATTTATTATATTGTAAACATAATTGTTGTCTTKTTTGGGACTCACAATCCTGACCATSATACTCGTACTAGCATACGAGCCGTATTCATGGGAAAGTCAAATTTGACTGTTGMCAATATCGATGGCATTATTTATGCTTATACCATCGCGATTCCATTCATGTGTGGCGCTTGGACAATTCCGACTTGCTTCTATATATCATTATGCCTCTTAGTGGCTGGATTTTTCAACGATCTCTTTGAAAGAGCTTCCTAYKCTATCTTGGAAAAGAAGAGCATTAACTTGCAAGATCTTCGGCGAGAATATGTTCGTCTATGCAACGTGCTGTCCGCTTTAAATGACTTGCTGTCACCTCTTGGGATGTCGATGTTCTCAGTTTATATCCCTCTTATATGTCTTAACATTAATGTTTGCATCCAGACGTTCGACGAAGACTCGGTCATCAATCGAGTAGCGTATATTTTCTGGATAACTGGAAATATTATAACTCTTCTTGTCATCTCCATATGTGGTGCCCAGGTTAACAATTCGGTAGGTGTGGCACTCACTTTATAAAAATGCATGCTCCATTTAACAGTTTCCAGGGACATTTTGAAAGGTAGCCAAGCTTTTGTATCGTTTTGACAACAGTTTAACATGCAATGATAGGTACCTGTGAATAATTGTCTTAGGTGTTGACCAATAAAARATATCTATCAATGTAGGCATAACTCCTGTCTCGTTTTAATGCCAAGGCTTGACTACCCTTCAAGATGGTGGCTACTAGCGGTAAACTAGTGTGAGCTGCGTCGTTGTTTCTAAAGAAACAGTTCAGTTGTATAAAAAATAAATTTTAACACCGTAAAAAAGTGGATGAAAGAGCTTACTGACGTTTCGGACGTTAATCTTTCATCGGAGTATAAAGAGAAAGATGAAAAGTGGTCTTAAAAATCAAATTAATTCATTAATGAGGCAACAACCTAACAATCTACTCGATAAAACAACATCTTTCACAAACTGTCGAGTCAACTGAGACCCTTTCACTTTTAAGCTTAGCTCTACCCAATCAATAATTCGTATGAACATTATTTTCAGGCTTGTCGCTTGTCAGAAGTTCTTTATAACATCGATGCCCAGGAACTGGACAAAAAAAGCGAGCTCGAGGTAAATCTCAACAAGATCTACGTTGTATCTATTGATTATTCATTTACTAAACTGCGTGATTTTACTATAACATCGCGAGCAATAATCCATTTTATAGTCACTGGCATAGAGCCATTTTGCAAGATAGCTGAGCCTTTACATCAAAGCGAGACAGGAGTTGAGCCTGCAGTGTTTGTTAACGCCAATAATTCACAAGTATCTATCATTGTAATATCAATAACTGTCTCACTTTTATGCAAAGTCTCGCCCCTTCCAAAATGGCGCTGGGAACTGTAACATGGAGTATTGATCTATAGAGTTTAATCTATTTTGCTATTTTGCAATATTTGGTAATTTCYTGAAGMAGGCCAAACTTCTGTGTCATTGCTCATTACAGCTGATGCTACTTTTGTCCAACTTAAATACCAACTACGCGGGWCTTACCGTGGGAGGTCTGGTGACTATAACCAAAGAAATGATTTTGACGGTAATATTTTGTGCATAATTTTTTAWTTGATAATTTTGAGCTTTCATACTATTGAACTAATATTCATCCTTTGGGCTTCCTGTTTTTGCGCCTAAAGGCTGAGGTAATCAAAAATTGAGTATTAAGTGGGCAGTAACGGGTAAACAGTATATGCCGGCTTTATTTCCCCCAGATACGACAGGAAACCCAAGGAAAAAAGTCCTTTGAAGTGCGTATCAGTCTTAACTTGTCTTGGTTTACAGGTTAAATTATTTATGCTTTCTTTATAGATTTTTGGGACCATCGTTGGATACCTTACAATTCTCATTCAATTTAAATGAGACCGAATGACATGCTAAGAAATGTATGGGTAATAACTCATGCAAGCTTCATGCAATACGTTCGAAAAAATTCCAGAAAACATGACATGGCCTGTCGTTTCATTAAAACAATAAAGATAATACTATATTCAAGCGGGGACAGCTTCAATAGATTGCTCCTACTCATGCCATGCAATAAAATCTTGTTGTTATCAAACTGCTGAGGTTAAAACTACTTAAATTCGAGTTAAAAAACATCCAAAGAGATGTCTCTTCGGTATTATCTAAACTCCTGAAAGTTTTCATGATAATTGTAAAGAGAAAATCCATTATAAATGGAGGTCTTTTGTGTAATCTGCTAATCTATATCCCTGAACCCGATGTTTAGAAGCATCAAAATGGTAAATATTCTTATTCATAAAACTATAAAGGACGAAGTTTCTTGCTAATTAGTGTTATGTTTTGCTAAGAATGCTTAAGGGAACATTTTATTAGAGGCCTATTAAATAGAGCATATTCAGAAACCTTTAGAAGTAGGACTGCACATGTACAAATTCAACAACATGACGTCAGTTTGTACGTTCGTCAATCCCACAATGACGTATATCGAATGACGTCATTAAGGGATAGGGACATTCACGCCTATACATCTCCTGTCCCAACCAAAAGTGATTGGTCGAATTCTCTCTTGCTGCGCAACATACAGTTGTGTTGAATATTGGGAAATAATATCCAAATAATATCCAAATAATATCCAAATAATATCCAAATAATATCCAAAATATTCTTCAATTTGGTACATCCAGGCCACACATTTTTTTGCAGTTATCAATGTGGAAATGATGTTTGTTGATAGCTTGAAAAGAAAAGAAATCAAGATAACAGTGAAAGTGTAGCGTATCTAGGATTATAAAACTCATTAATATTCATAAGGCAAAACACAATAGAAATCATAGCCCATGAAGAGAGTTGTATATTACATACAGATTTCTTGCTCATTTGCATAAACTTTAACTCTGATTTTCTCGGTCAGATTGATTTTTTTTTCAAAAGTTTCTTTAAAACCTGAGCTAGTTTACCTCAACGTTTCATAAGTAATATACAATATTCGCGGGCGATCTGTATGAGGTTTAAAACAGCTCGCTTTCAGCTCGCTGTTTTAAATCCTCATACAGATCGCCCGCTCATATTGTATATATTACTTATAATTTAATACTTTACAACTCCTCTCCCAACCAAAACTGATTGGTGGAGTTCTCTCTTGCTGTGCATACAGTTGTTCTAGAAACTGGGGAATAATATCCAAAATATTCTTCCTTGTAATCGCAATTTGGTACGCTGATGTCACAACCTGATTTGCAAGCCTCCATGTGAAAATGGTAAATGTTAACTTTTTGATATATGAATGCTGTTTTGTTAAAGAAATCATGGCCCTTGATGTTGATGTGAGCAAACTTGAAACATTTTCTTTCTACATCACCATGGTCAATGATGTCATAGTCACGTAGGTAACCAAAGAGATAGTCGGGAACCAATGAGGATCTGTATGGAAAGTCGCACGTGAAACGATACATAGTTGACCTTRAGCGTTGGTACTTTATTATATTAAGATTCAAACGGTAGTTAATCCAATTAGGGTTGTTGGCACTACGCGTAAATTCGTTTTGATGAAGGGCCACGCTTCTGTATTCGGCAATATAGGACATGGCGTATGATTCTATCAAAGTCCAAGCCTTATTTGGTTGTTCAAATGCGCAATATAAAACTTTCTGTCTAGAATTGTCATCTCGGGTTATGSTATATGGACCATTGGTGGGGAAATTCCCCAGAGGCTGAGATTTCATGATATCGAGACAAGATGCAGGCGTGATTTTCCTTTCGCATACTTTACCATGGAATGATGTACGACAAGTACAGGTGAACTTTTCCTTTGGTGATTCGCAGTGCTCTACGCATGTCCCTCCGTTCATACAAGGCTGGGATCGACAACAGCCATTGTAGCACTGGATACCTGGTGGCATCAGATGCGAKGCCTATGAAAAGTGGTTGAACTGCGTTTAGATTATTAACATCATCATCAACAACATCCAATAAAGTTTCTTTATATGACAATGATTATTATTTCGTGTTATGCTTACCCCCTGAAACATTGTCTGCTGGAGATCAAAATAAACGTATCCTGGTTCTACTAAAAAATCACTAGGCTTTGAAGTCTTGTCCTCATCCAGCAACTCACACCTTGCATCTTTCATCTGGCACGCCTTACAACGACAATCTTGGACACAAGATGAGTAGCACTTGACTGGATCATCAGTGGTGATGTTGTTGTAGGAGTGCCCCTTGAGATGTTTTCCATGGAAGATGTCTTGGGGCTCTGGGAAAAGTTTTCCAGAATAGCAGGTGCCAACACAATGAGATTGTCCGAGGACATTGGAGATGGAGAAATACAATACGATGATGGTAACATACATAGACTCCATTACTCCAATAATTGATGACTACAAATAAAAATTGAATGAAAAACATCAAATAACTTAAGAAGTTTATTTACTTTGAAAAAATGAATCGAGAAAATTTGATTTTTTAAAGTCAGGATACAAAGACTTTGCTTGAATAATTGATGACTTCAAGGTCAAAAAAATTGAATGGAGAATACCAACTCAATAAAGAAGTTTGYTTCATTTTTGGAATGAGTGATGCTTACAGATRGAATAGTAAAAATTGATCGYCTTCGGAATGCCCATTTTGAGATTTCAGCAAGTTTGAAAATTTAAAGTTTGTTTTACTTTAGAAAACATATTCTAATATGATTTATCATACTTAATTACATTTATTTTTGGCATCATATCACCTAGGTATATTTAATTTCAAACTAAAGGTCTTAAGATAAGCAACGAATGTAAAACAGAACAGACTTAAGTGTTTTGCGACATGTTTCAGAAAAATCGATTAACTCCTGACCCCACACTCCTGCGCAACATCATTGATACGAAAAAATTCAGTGCCAAATTTACTACTAATTTTTAAGATTCCATAGTACATTTGMATAGAACATTTATGACTTTAATTTGTGGTAAATATTTTTTCAAATTTCCCATCATACCAATTGAGTAAATTTTTATCTTTAGGCGCGTTTAATGGCATCTACAAAATTCTATATCTTAGGCWTTAATACTGAATCATGTATCATATATGTAGACTTGTACATATTTTACGTGTATTTATACAATACAATTTCTGTACGTTCAGCTACGTTGCATTACGTGTGATCTAAACGTACGCGTCGAGATCCTATAAACCGCGGCTACAAGAGCGATTTTTCGCTTGCCCAGGCGACGCGTCAGGTACGATGAAAGCTGAACATCGAATTTGAGCTGTTTTGAACATATACCTCTTTATGGAGATTCAAATAATTATTTGTGAGGATTTGTTTATCGATACRGCATTGTCGCTCGTCAGTAGCCACATCGTGMGTTTGTGATTTTGAGAAAATTGCGTCGCCTGCGCAAGCAAAAWWTCGYTCGTGTTACTGCGACTTTAAGAACTTTTATCTCCGGACTGATGTGTAAAGACCTTAAAGAGGGTTTACTAATTTTACTTTTCACCTTGTTCAGAAAATAAGTTTTTTATCAAAGTTTTTTACCTGAAATCTGGTGGATCAGTTTCTAARGATCTTGTTCAGATGTTGARCTGTACTACCCACGTTCTGAACAACTCCTCTACCCAACTTCAACCTCAAAATGCGCGCACACATRTCAGTTAAACAAGATATATGCAAACAATTTGCAAATTTTGCTCAGCAGTAGACASTCTTGAAAAGGTGAAATTTCCTTAATGAGTTTAATCACATAAACAAATTTTGTTTTTCTACTTTAGGTCATATAAACTCCACACTGATTTCAGTGTAATTATGCCTACCAGGAGTCACACTCTAACTTAATTGATTTAATTGATTCGTGGTTTCAAATAGGAACCACTGAACATAGAGAAAACATAGAGAAAAACATCAGGTAACCAAAGAAACGTAAAGAATAACAAAAACGAAAACAAAATCTTTTTCCTTCTTATCGCACAAAATGTAACTTTGCCTTTGTTGAGTTTATAAAAGTAATGAATCCTTTTAAAGCTGCAATATTGCTTGCCGTGCTAGAACAGAACCTCTATTTTGGTTTTTATTTTTTTTGGAAGGGCATCTATTGTTTGTCGACATTGTTTTACAAAGAAACGAATCACAMGATTCTATCGCTACGTGATGACCCGATTTTATTGTCAATAGAGAAGTAAAGATTCGACGATTTCGATTTCCGGATACGGGTGGATTACTCGTACTCGTACTCGTACTCGTACTCGTGTCGCTCGTGTCGTATTGTTGAAACTTCCGGCTGAATTTTGACATTATACATCTGATAATAGTCTCATATAAACATCTCCTTTTGCAAAAATTGCTATATTTTTAAAAGATTAATTATCTTTTTAAGATTAATCATGTATCTTAACTAATCCTATACCGTTGGTATTCTCGCGTCCGTAGATTATTATTCTTATCGATTTCTGAGCTTGATTAAGCCTCAGTCTTTTCTATAGTACAAGTTTTCGTAATTAATAATAATAAATAAGTTATCTTCACTTTAACCTTTTGGAAATTGAGTTATATGCAGAAAGTTGTGAGTTTTTCATCATGGTATGGTTGTTGTTTGCAGTTATCTCATCTTCATTAGTGTTTGTTATACCATGTGTACAGTTGTATTGTCTGAATATTATTATTTGTTTTCCTTGGCGTTTTCGTTTTCCTCTCTTGMAMCAGGWGCAAGTACAGTTGCAGCTCTTTTGGTATCTTGCGATCCACTTCCATTCAAACCTCTTCTTACAACATTCCACTGAACAAATCTGAAAACCAACTTTTTAGCTGCTTCTCGAAAATCCGACATGAAAATCAAGTATATTACCGGACTTAATAATGCATTTAGAAGTGGCAATAAAGCGAGGACAAATTCAAGTGTYTTCCAATTCAAACACTTTGAATTGAGCGCTGAAAAACCTCTGAMWATAATCACTATGTCATARCTGACATAACAGCAAGAGTAAAGAAGAAGCGAGCATAAAACCATTTTAATAGCGCCAGCCATCTTTTTTGCCCTTGCTTTYCTTTGCGCTTCAGAGAGGCTCGCTTGAATTGCATTTCCAGTGGATAAYCTTCTTAAGGTAATGAAACTTAACGTGAAAATTGTAAAATATCCGGAGAAAACAAAAGCTAACATAAATATATCCCAAAAATTCAACATRGATTTAGCATATTCACAGGAACTGYGGTTATTATCTTGTAAAATCGATCTGTAWARAAGYTGCTCTRCTGCAAGGCCTAAASAAACCACCAAACAGCTYAGCGTTACTGAARCACGTTGCTTGAGAGTATAAGGCCTTGATATTTGCGCCATTGGCCTCGTCGCTCTGAATCGCTGAATGCTGATGATCACAAGRCTAACRAATGTTACCCACATCGMAGAGTTAATGATAAAATATTGGGCTTTACATAAGATGTGGCCTGAAACCTCTTTAATATCGGCCCATATTTCAGGGTGGAAAAGCCTTGGAAGCTCCAAGCTCAAWGTTATCAATACTAAAAAAGTGTCTGCGACCGCCATGTTGATGATCAAGTGGTGAAGACTTCTTGTCACCAAATACTTCACCGCTAAAACAATGATGAAGACATTCCCTCCAATGCCAAACACACTGACAGAAATAATCGCRAAYACTTTGAGAGTTTGTGAAATACTAGATTCACTGTTCATTTCTGAGCAGACATGGTTTTTAGTGATATTGAAGTGGTCTGTGGTGTTGTTCATAATGYCGTCGATATGACACTAAGTCTCGTTTCTTGCTTTTCTCAAGAGTATTCTTGCATGTATGTATAATTACAATCACTTCTATAGAACCAAAGCTAAGAAAGCCTTTAAAATTTGAGGCACCAGATGGTCTTAGAATAGAAAGCTTAATGTTTTTTCCACGTTGAGGTCCATTCCATGCCGTGAAAAACAGTTTTCCTGATAAGTASAGCAATCAGCAATCTCGTGCTTTAATAAAAACAATATCCTTATTTACATTTCTCAGTTTCTACATGTTTAATTAAATCCTGCATCTAACAATSATAACAATTTTATTAATAAACAAAGCTTCAAGAGTGTAATACCTGAAAATTAAACACTTTTTAATTTTCCTTCATGTTAAAATGTACTGGGTAAAGTAATATTGATATCGTATAAACTGAATTAGCGCTTTTTAGCGTTCGAAGCAGGTGAAAATCCAAGATTTATCTGTGAAGTTAAAACTACAGCAATTATTACTACACGCCAATTCGTCGGCACATCACCAATTTCCGCTAAAATACTCCTCTATGTAGCTGGCATCCTACAAAGGCCCTCAAGAGTTCCATAATTTTCTTTGGTTTGGGTGGTTATTTCTCGAATAAACAGGAAATATGATGTTCGCAATCAATTCAAGTCAACAGGGAAGCAATAGTTAATAAGGCTTAACATTGGAACACAGGAAAATAGTACTTCAAAACTGAATTTGCATGTCATCATCTGAATAATCGTGCTCTTTGAAATAGTCGTACTTGGTGCGCAAGTTTAACGATTTTTTTTCCTTTAATATACACAAATWACGTGCCTTTCCAGTTTTAAGACTATTATGAGTCAGGGGAAAATTAGAAACAAACTAATACTAACAACACTTCATTACGGCACTAAATTAGATCTCATTTGATTTTCAACGTAACTAAAATCCAAAATGGCGTCGAGTCAATCAAAATGATCTTTTCGATTGGCATCGCCGTTTTAATCGTCTTATATAAGATTTAACACTGGAAAAAAATCACGCGCTTTAAAGGTTGTAAATTTCATGTAAATATGATGTAAGTGTCCAAAATTCTGTAAATTTGATGTAAATGATTTCCATTAGATTTATAGAATTTTGGACACTTACATCATATTTACATCAAATTTACAACCTTTAAAGCGCGCGATTTTTTCCAGTGTTAATTCTCTATTTTTTAAGAAATGTGTGCAGTTCCTGCCCCTCGCAAATCTCAAAACCAGTCTTCCCATGGAGTTGGGGTCCHAAGCGAAGGGATAGGGGACTGGGAGCGAGGTTGTTCGATCCATTTACAAAATATGTCTTCTTTGACTAATTTTGGGAGTAAAAACATTAGATGCTATATCCTCTATATTTTTTCTGTAAAAGTGAAATTAAAAGCCATGTCACCTATAATTACACAAACGTTGTCCAAGAAAAAGAACTTTTACTATTTAGGAATTAATCAAAATACAAAAGAAGTGTTCGGCTTCAGTGGTCATGTTTTGTCTTTTAATGCATTCCTAATTTCCTAAATCCCTAAATCTCAGGACAACGTTTTCGTAACTAGGTGTATGTGTGTTTATACACTACTTCTA